GTTGAAGCAGGTGGATCTGTTCCAGGACAGTCAGGGCTGCATAGTGAAACCCTGTCAAAAAATTTTTTAAAAAGGTTGAGGGTACTGTAGTGATATATTGTGTACCCTAATAAACTTGCCTGGGGATCGGAGGACAGAGCCAGCCACTGGATTAGACATAGAGGTCAGACAGTGGTGGCACACACCCTTAATCCTGTCACTCAGGAGGCAGAGATTGGTCTGGATCTCTGTGAGTTCAAGGCCATACTGGAAACAGAGTCAGGCAGTGGTGGCACATGCCTTTAATCCCAGTACTGGGAAGCACACACGCCTTAAATCCCAGCTAGTGATGTCTGGGCAAAGAAAGGTATATAAGGCGTGAGGAAACAGGAACTCATACTCTTTATGCTGAGGATTTTGTATAGGTAAGAACTAGTGGCTGGCTGTTCTGCTTCTCTGAGCTTTCAGCTTTCACTCTGATATCTGGCTCTGGGTTTTTTATTATAAGACCATACAAGATTCGAACAACAGGGTGCCATACTAACTGAGGGACAGGAAAGGCTATATACAAGAGGCAGCCTATGTGAATGTTTCTTGAGCAAAAATAAGAAAAGAGGCACTTCTGAAGGAGAAGACTCCATGATCGTGGCCAGAGACAAGCAACACCAGAGCTAGGTATAGTGGCTGTAGCACGAATCTTAAAAGGTCTTATTAATAAAAACAAACCTGGGGGCAGGTATTGGGGTGAACGCTGAAAGATCAGAGAAGCAGAACAAGCCACAGCCACCTCACCCCGCCAGTTCCTCAGCTGATCCTGTTTCCTCAGACTGGAAGCTTCTGTGTCCTCATCTGAATGAATCTCAGCTGAACTGTTGCTCAAAAGCCTCAAGCTTAACCAACTCTAGTTCCTGGTCCTCACACCTTATATACCTTTCTGCTTCCTGCCATCACTTTCTGGGATTAAAGGCATGTGTCACCATGCCTGGCTATTTCCAGTGTGACATTGAACTCACAGAGATTCATATGGATCTCTGCCTTCAGAATGTTAGGATTAAAAGTGTGTGTGCTACCATTTTCTGGCCTCTATTATCTAATGGCTGTTCTGTTCTATGACCCCAGATAAGTTTATTAGTATTCATAATATATTAGGGAACACAATATCACCACAAGTGGCAGCACAAAGAATCCCAGGGCTTGTGAGGCTGAGGCAGGAGGATCATGAGTTAGAGGCTGATGGTAACATTTGTGAGCTACAGCAGTGAAAGTCACTATCGTTCCCAGAGAAACCAATCAGTGTTGTCCAAAGGAAAACATACACTTTTAGTCCTAATTCTCATGTGACCTGGTTGTAACATCTTCCTGCTTTGGTTTGTCGGTTTGTGTTTTTATTCTGAGACAGGTTTTCATAGCCTGGCACTTGCTTTGTAGTCCAGGCTGGCTTCAAACTAGTGACCGTTCTGCCGTGGCATCCTGGGTGCTGAGATCGTAAGTGTTTGTTAGCACATGTTTCTCTCCTTGCTGGTTTTCAGTCATTTACTGAGTAAAGATCAAAATTCCTGACACCGTGCTCTTTTTTCATGTAATGAGTCACAGTTTTACCTCTTTTTCAAAAGTTATCTTTTAACGTTTCTCGACACTTATTTCCTTTGCGGTGGATAATTTCCAGCACAGTACCAAGCAGACGGTGTGGGGGTTTGTCTTGTTTTGCTTTAAGACAGGTAATGCGGTAGTCCAGGCTGTCCCCAAACTCACATACCTCAGCTTCCCAAGGGCTGGGTTTATGGGTATGAATCACTGCACCTGGCTCAGAGTATGGTTTTAATAAAGGCATATTGAATGTAGAGCGGGTAAGTAGCCCAGCTAAAGATCACAACTGTACATAAAATCAGACCGCTGCACAGGGTTCCCCGGAGGTGCCCAACATTACAGAAAGCAACCTGTCTGCCCATTGCCAAAGTCTTCTCACAGCTGTTCTTCACAGGCCAGTGGTTAAGGGACTGAAGTGTAACTCGATGGCAGCTTGTGCTCAGCATGCACAAGACCCTGGGCTCAACTGTCAGTCCCCAAAAGGAATTAAAAAAAAATGGTACGAAGAAATGCTAGAGATGGGAGCACAGTGAAGAAACCCTTCCCAGCCTGTCATATCAGGAAAAGTTTCATGAGACGTTAACATTGACTTCAAACTTCAAAGAATGAACAGAGCTTCTTTATGTGGAGATAGAGAGAGGGAAAATTACCTAAGTGGGGCAGGCGACACAGTCAGCAAAGGCCAGGGTGGGCCACACAGATAGCACAACGCATATTGATGCCAGGGTGTGGTGATATTGTGTCCCCCAATATATTGTGCACCCTAAAACACTTATCTGGGGTCAGAGAACAGCCACTAGACAGACATAGAGGCCAGAAAATGGTGGCACACACACCTTTAATCCTATCATTTGGGAGGCAGAGATCCATCCGGATCTCTGTGAGTTCAAGGCCCCACTGGAAATAGCCAGGCATGGTGATACACACCTTTAATCCCAGGAAGTGATAGCAAGAAGCAGAAAGGTATATAAGTCATAAGGACCACGAACTAGAGGTCTTGTTAAGCTTTTAGGCTTTTAGCAGCAGTTCAGCTGAGATCCATTCAGATGAGGACACAGAGGCTTCCAGTTTGAGGAAATAAGATCAGGTGAGGAAGTGGCCAGGTGAGGTGGCTGTGGCTTGTTCTGCTTCTCTGATCTTTCAGCATTCACCCCAATACCTGGCTCTGGGTTTGTTTTTATTAATAAGACCTTTTAAGGTCTACACCAGGGAAATGAAGCAAGCTGCTGGTCCTCAGCTGTGTGAACTGAACCAGTTGGGAAGGGCATTAGGAATGTAGTGTGGCGGTGATTTTGAAACCCCTAGGCTGAGTCTGGTCATCTCTGAAAGGTGGTAAGGAGCCATTAGAGTTTTGAACCAAAGGAGAGAATGCACATTTCACGTCAGTAAGGTTAACTTGACAGCTTTTTGTAGCATAGATTAGATAGGTCAGAAATACGCCATAACCAGGAAGAAGCCAGACTTAGGGATGAGCTCAGTCCAGATAGAGTGGGGTACACCTATATATAGTCCCAATTATCTGGATGGTGAGGCAGGAGGAATGCTAGACCTTGTCTCTGCCTCTCAAACGCTGGGATTCCAGGCCTATGCCCACACCTGCCCTGACAGTACTGGTATTTGAAGGTAAGAGGACAGTACTGAATAAACACAAATATAATAAGATATAATGTTTAGTATTCTCTCATTTTTTTCTCTCTCTCTTCTCCCAAGATCTTGAGCTAGCTCCTCAGAGTAGGAGCTGTGCCTTACCTCTCTTTGATTTCTCTGTGTTGGGCAGCATCTGACATAGAAGCTTTAAGAAAGATGTTGTCTTCTCTCTCTGCATTTTTTTTAACTCAGCAAATATTACTAAGCTTCTGTGTTTAGAAGACAGCACCAAGGAGTTTAGATAGAATGGACGTTTTACTGGTAGCTTTGACTTCTCAGGAAAGCCTCTGTTGAGTGGCAGAACCACAGCACATGGCTGGGGCTGGGTGAAGGCTCTTGGGCGAGACAACTCGGAACAGCTGTGTCCAGAAATGTGCCCGGGAGATCCCCAGATACTTCCATGCTTACTGCAGGGCTGTCCTGTGGGTCTGGAATGCTCTCCTCTCCCCACCTCTCATCCCTTATGTAGCCTGCTTATCTTTCAGATTCAACCGCCACCAACTTTTCAGGCACATCCTTCCTGCAGTGTCCTGAGTAAAGCAAGGAAATGTACTCTGAGTTTATGTTCCTCTCCTTGCTAATCTCACTCCATTGTGTTCGGAATCAAGGAAAGGGTCTTGCAGTGGCTTTTCCGCATCTGGTGGGAAGCAGTCCTGTTTGCTGGTGACAAAACCAGACAGGATGGCAGAGCAGCAGTTAAAGGGCCGAGGCGTTGGTGGACTCCATCAGCATGGCTCTTGTCACTAACAGGAAAGACAACTGAGATGACCCAGGGAAAGAGCAAAGACCTGAGGCTGATGGGCAGGCAGGATGCACTGACCAGGAGGGAATCGTTTTCTATTCTTAGGAAAATCTAAAGTGTGTTTTCCCTAACTGGGGAAACAAAGCGGAAGAAATGGGTTTTTTTCTAAGTAACTTTTAAAAAAAGTTAATGATTTATTTATATTTATTTTATGCACATTGGTGTTTTACTTGCATGTATATCTAGATGAGGGTGCCAGATCCCCTGAAACTAGAGTTACAGACATTTGGGAGCCACCATGTGGGTGCCAGGAATTGACCCCACATCCTTTGGAAGAGCAGCCAGTGCTCTTAACTGCTGGACCACCTCTCCAGCCCTCCACGTAACTTATTCTTATCTGTGGGGAAGGCAAAGGGGGACGGGGGGGGGGGGGGGGGTTGGAGGGGTGTCAAACCTCTAACAAAGGCTGCACAGGCCAGGTAGTACCTTTTGCTCTGGCACTCCTGAGGCAGAGGCAAGTGGATCTCTATGAGTTTGAGATTAGACAGGTCTACATAGTAAGTTCCAGGCTGGCCAGGTCTACCACAGTGAGACTGTCCCTAAAATAAACAATCAATAAGTAAATACTACACAGATAGATATAAAGTATTATTTTTGGAAGAAACAGCAAAGCCTAAGTAAATACATTATACTCGGATTCTAATAACAATCTCTTGAGCCTTTAGAATCAACCCAAACTTGACTGCTTTGTGTCACTGAGAATAGTCTCTTTCTTCCTCTCCTCCTCCTCCTCCATTTCCTCCTCCTCCTCTTCTTCCTCCTCCTCCTCTCTCTCTCCCCTCCCTCTCTCTCTCTTGACAGGATTTTGTTGGCCCAGGCTGGCCTGGAACCTGTGATCCTACTTCCTCAGGCTCCCCGGTGCTGGGATACTGGATATGCACTACCACACCTGGCCCTTTCCTCATCCTGACGGCAGAAGGGAATGGGGAAGGGTCCCACCGGGAAGGGTCCCACCCCTTGACGCTGCCTCTGTCTGTCTCCCCAGGTTATTACTTACTCCAGTCGTCATGTCTACAATAACTTGACTGAAGAACAAAAGGGCCGAGTGGCCTTTGCTTCCAACTTCCTGGCAGGAGATGCCTCCCTGCAAATTGAACCTCTGAAGCCAAGCGACGAAGGCCGATACACCTGCAAGGTGAAGAACTCAGGACGCTATGTTTGGAGCCATGTCATCCTCAAAGTCCTAGGTAAGGTAGGACCCCAAGATAAATGCCTGCCAGACAGATCTCTGTGAGTTTGAGGCCAGCCTGGTCTACAGAGTGAGTTCCGGGACAGCCAAAGCTACACAGAGAAACCCTGTCTCAAAAACATGCCTGCATCTTATGAGGTGTCAAGGGGGGCCTAGCCAGCTGCAGAAGGCAGTAAAATCACCTATGTAATTCTTGTAGTGTGCATGTAGACATCACCAGGGCCAGTTCCCACAAAGAAACATTTATGTTCTAGATTTTAACCATAATGAGAGAAGAAAACGTAATTATAATTTTCTTTTTCAACTTTTTTTTATTTAGTGTGTGTGTGTGTGTGTACATGTGTGTGTGCTACTGCCTTCGTGCAAAGGACAGAGGACAACTTTAACCATTGTTGGTTCCGGGGTCTACACAGAGAAACCCTGTCTCGAAAAACCAAAAGAGAGGAGAGAGAGAGAGAGAAATTCCCAGTAAAAAACAGCATCTGTTTTTTGAGAAGTGGCATGGGGGTTTCTGAGGCACGGCAGGTTCCACCACTGGGAGTAGCTGCTGAGGGATGCTGGGGAGAGGGACCGGGGAGAAGATGATCGGGCTTCAGGAGGTGAAGCATGGCTAGATGAGCTTCAACTCAAAACTGAACGAAAGTCGGCAAGATGGATGACTAAATAAACACCCAAGCAGGGTGCAGTTCTTCCTCTGAACCTGGCATTAGGAAAATTTCTGCATGATCACATTTTTTCAAAAATTTTTTTTTTGCCAGTGAAACCCTCCAAGCCCAAGTGTGAGCTGGAAGGAGAGCTGACGGAGGGCAGCGACCTGATGTTGCAGTGTGAGTCTGCCTCTGGAACGAAGCCCATTGTGTATTATTGGCAGCGCATCCGGGAGAAGGAGGGAGAGGATGAGCACCTGCCGCCCAGATCCAGAATTGGTAAGTCTTCTTCCTGTCAGTCTTCGGGGCCAAAAATATAATACAGTGGCCACGGCTTCCAAATCTGCCGGGCCAGCAGCGCGCCGGACGCCCTTGACCAGGCTGAGGAGTCTCCTTTCAGTGCATCGTCATGGGTTTGTGCGGTTGTCATTAGTTTGGTTTGCTCTGTTTGGTTTGATTTAGGGTCTCATCTAGCATCCTGTCCTTGATTGCTTTTCTGCTCTTGTGGTAGAACACTATGACCCAAAGCAGCTAGGAGAGTGTTATCTTACACTCCCCGGTCACAGTCCATCTTTGAGAAGTCAGGCAGGAAGGCAAGATAAGAACGTGCAGGCAGGAACCATCCATGAACCAACTTGCTCTCTCTCTCTCTCTCTCTCTCTCTCTCTCTCTCTCTCTCTCTCTCTCAATATGCTCAACTAGCTTTCTTTCTTTTTCTTTTTTTTTAGATTTCATGTATTTATTTTATACGTATGAGTATGCTATCTGCGTGTGTGTCTGCCTGCCAGAAGAGGGCATCAGATCCCATTATAGATGGTTGTGAGCCACAATGTAGCTGCCGGGAACTGAACTCAGGACTTCTGGAAGAACAGGCCCCTCAACTAGCTTTCTTACACAGCCTGGGCCCTCCTACCTAGGGATGTTGCCACCTGCAGTGACCTGGGCGTTCCTCCCATATCAACCATCAATCAAGACAATCTTTCACAGACACACCCAGAGATCAATGTAGTTGGGGGGATCCCACTTCCCAAGTGTGTCAAAGTGACCAGCAAAAACTAGCCAGCAAAAAAAAAAAAAAAAAAAAAGCCATACAGTGGTAGTGCATGCCTTCAGTCCCAGAGGCAGGCAGATGTGGTGATACTGTGTTCCCCAAAATATTGTGCACCCTAATAAGTTAATATAGGGTCAGAGAACAGAATAGCAACTAGATATAGAGGCCAGAAAATGGTGGCACACACGCCTTTAATCCTAGCATTCCAGAGGCAGAGATCTGTCTAGATCTCTGTGAGTCCAAAGCCACACTGGGAACAGCTAGGTGTGGTAACGAGAGCCTTTAATCCCAGGAAGTGATGGTAGGAAGCAGAAAGGTATTTAAGGTGTGAGGACGAGGAACTAGAGCTGGTTAAGCTTTTAGGCTTTTGAGCAGCAGTTCAGCTGAGATCCATTTGGATGAGGATTCAGAAGCTTCCAGTCTCAGGAAATAGGATCAGCTGAGGAATTGGTGAGGCGAGGTGGCTGTGGCTTGTTCTGCTTCTCTGATCTTTCAGCATTCACCCCAATGCCTGGTTCCGAGTTTGTTTTTATTAATAAGACCTTTTTTTTTTTTTGGTTTTTCGAGACAGGGTTTCTCTGTGTAGCTTTGCGCCTCTCCTGGAACTCACTTGGTAGCCCAGGCTGGCCTCGAACTCACAGAGATCCGCCTGGCTCTGCCTCCCGAGTGCTGGGATTAAAGGCGGGCGCCACCACCCCCCGGCTAATAAGACCTTTTAAGATTCGTGCTACAGGCAGATCTCTGTGAATTTGAGGCCAGACTGGTCTATAGAGCAAGTTCCAGGACAGGCTCCAAAACTACACAGAGAGACCCTACTTTGAAACCCCACCACCACCACCAAAAAAAAGAAACCTAACCAGCAGAGGTCTACTCTCAACCTTTGGCCAAGATCAGATGTAGGGTCTTATGTAGCCCAGGCTAGCCTTGAACACCTGATCCTTCAGCCTCCACCTCTCAGGTGCTGGGATTACAAGCATATGTTACCACCAAGTCCAGTGTGAACCATTCTTGCTGTTATTGTTTATTTCTTGAGACAGGATGTCATAGAGCCAAGGTTGCATAGAACTTGCTACACAGAGTTCAAGACTATCAGGATTATCCTGCCTCTGTCTCCCAATTGCTGGAGTTATAGGGCCTTACCAACATGACTAGGTTACTGTTAAATCTCTTAAATTTCATTTTTCATCTGTAAACTTGAACAACAACAAAACCCTCCTTCTTTCTTCAAATGTCATAAAAATTAAAATGAGAGGGTTGGGGAAATGGATTATATAAACTACTCTAACTAAATGAACTGTTTTAGTATTCACTGAATGCTCTCCATTTTCTTTTGGCTCTGCAGTGGGGATTGGAACTAGGAGTTTGTACATGCTCACAGCCCCCCTCAGATAGAATTTCCAGAAGTTGCCCAGAATATCCTTGAACTCACTCTGTAGCCCAGTTAGACCATGAACAGGTGATTCTCCTGCTTCAGCCTCTCAAACAGCCACCAGGCCCTTCGTTCCCAATCTCTTGTAACTCTTGAGGTTGCCCAACCATTTAAAATAGTATTTACCTATTTCCCATGTTTCAACACAAGATCTTTTCTGTCATTTCATCCCATCAAACCATTTGACCTCACAGGTCAGTGATGCACCACAGGAAACAGTATAGACACTGTCCTGGAGGAGACTTACCATTCTGCTTTCTGCTTGTCTAGATTACAACAACCCTGGCCGGGTGCTGCTGCAGAATCTCACCATGGACTCCTCTGGGCTCTACCAGTGCACAGCGGGCAACGAGGCTGGAAAGGAGAGCTGTGTGGTACGAGTGACGGTACAGTGTGAGTATCCTGGGGTCGCCCTGATCAGTGCAAGCGAGTGTCTCGGGGTTGCCCTGTACAGTGTGAGTATCCTGGGGTCACCCTGATCAGTGCAAGCGAGTGTCTTGGGGTTGCCCTGTACAGTGTGAGTATCCTGGGGTCGCCCTGATCAGTGCGAGCGAGTGTCTTGGGGTTGCCCTGTACAGTGTGAGTATCCTGGGGTTGCCCTGTACAGTGTGAGTGAGTGTCTTGACGTTGCCTTTCTTTTAGAATGGAGATAAAACTCTGTACCTTGGGCATGCTAGCCAGCATTCTACCACTGAGCTAAACCCCCAACTTTCCATAAAGGATTTTTTTGTTTGTTTCATTTAAATTTTTTATTGTTGCATTACAGTTTGGCATAAAATGTTTAAATCATGAGTAAAAATAAGGTCAAGGTCAAAGTCTTTCTTTCCAGAAAGACTTTCTTTTGACTGGTTGTATGGTTACTAATGTGAATTAGCCAGTCCTCTGAACTATGGAGCTGGGAATTTGGCTCAGTGGACTAGCACTTGCATAGCATGGGTAGCTCCCTCAGTTGGGTGCCGGCACCATGCTTCTGTACACACACACACACACACACACACACACACACACACACACACACACAGACTTGGGTGAGGTCAGAGATACATATATAATCCTCCAGTTTAGAAGGTGAAGGCAGGATAATCTGGAGTTCAAGGTCATCCCTCACTATATACAAGAGGTTTAGAGCCAATCAGGACTACATAAGACCCTGTCTCAAAAAACCAACAACAAAACAGAAAAGTCGGGTCAGGTGTTTTGATGCATCCTATAATTTTAGCACTAGGGATACTATGACAGGAGGATAGTGAATTTGATGCCAGCTTGGACCACTTTATAATTACTTTTTTTTTTAAGGAAAGGAAAGAGCCAGGTGTAATGGTACACTCCTTTAATCCCAGCACTCTGGAGGCAGAGGCAGGTGAATTTCTGTGAGTTTGAAGCCAGCCTGGTCTACAGAATGAGTTCCAGGACAGCCAGGGCTGCATAGTGAGACCCTGTCTCGAAACAAACAAATAAACAAACATGACAAGAGAGAAAAGCAATTAACAGTCTTAACCAGCTCTAAAGCTCATAGACCACAGAAATGTCAGCCTGCCAAAACATCTTCAAAGGTGCAGCAACAGCACTTTCATCATGGGGATTACCAACCACTGTGGAAAAAAAAAAAAAAAGACATCATAAACCAAGTCACAAAATAAAACCAGCTTGCATACTTGTCTCTATTTCTGTGTAACAAATTGCCCCAAATTTAGTGACTTAAAACTTCTTGACTCTCGGTTTCTGTAAGCCGGAAATTCAAGAGTGGCCTAGCTAGGAAGTCGGGCTCACTCTCTCCTCAGGAGAGGTTGCATAGTGAGTCATCTGTGCTGCATACATTATAAGACCTGGATGCTGGAGGCTAGCCCTCTAAAATGGCTCCCTGTGGCTGCTGGCCAGCCTGAAATAGTCATTGGAGTTCTAGAGACTTGAGAACTAAGACTTGCAGTGATTCCGTAAAAGCAAAGCCTCAGAGGTGTGTTTTATTTGCTAGAAGTGAGTCATGGGTGAGCAAGAGTGGTCGGCAGATAAAGGCTCTTGGCAGCAAGCCAAGTTCTATGCCCAGGACCAACATGGTGGAAAGAATCAGCTCCCTCTAGTTGTCCTGTGACCGCCAACCAAGGGTACAGTGGCACGTGCATGCCCCCCCCAACACACACACAAACTACCTCACTAGTTAATGAAGGAGTTGTTAGGATGTTAAAACTGGTCCAAAGAGCACCTGAAACCTTAGGTTAGGGACAGAGACACTTTAACTTGGAGATTGTCAAGATCGCTGGGGTAGGCAGCAAAACAGTTAATGTTCCATCTACACAATGGCAGGCTGTGATCTCTGGGGTCACCTATTTAACCAGAATGGGAAGCCTGTGTCTTCCTGCTGCGCAGAGGTCTGTAAGCTGTGTTAGAGTTACAAAGGGTCAGGAAGTGGACTTCTGTCCTGTCAAACATCAGTTGTCCTATGAATTTAACAAGGTCTTCACAGAGAAACTATGAGCTGCCTGTCATGTCAAAAGTCCACCTTTTTTATTTGAAGCTATCATGACAGTGAAACTAAACTAAAATAAAATAAAATAAAATAGTACCAACTAGGTATGGAAGCTCATACATATAATCTCAGCAATAAGGAGAACCATGGACTCAAAGTCAGTCTGGGCTATAAACCAAGCCGTGCACGTGCACACATACACAAACAATAATACCAATTCTTAGAAAGGTATTGAAACAACAACAATAAAATGGTTCTTTAGCCAGCTCTGGTAGTACATACCTGTAATTTCAATACCTGGGAAGTGGAGGCAAAAAGACCAGGAGTTCAATGTCATTCTCTTAATAAAGAATATGAGGCCAGTTTAGGCTTCATGAAACCATGTCTCAAAAGTCATTCTTTAACCTGTCTTGGTGGCGCACGCCTTTAGTCCCAGCACTCTGGAGGGAGCGGCAGACGGATCTCTGTGAGTTCAAGGCCAGCCTGGTCTATAGAGTAAGTTCCAGAACAGCCAGGACTACACAGAGAAACCCTGTCATAAAACAACAACAACAACAAAATTGTTTAAATAAAGTAACAAATGGGGAGGGGGGAAACCAAGTACTTTATATTCTTGGCCAGAGTATAATTTCAGCGCCTTTTATTATAACCTTAGATTTGGAAAGAGGAAATATATTGTAGTGAAGTTTCAGAGAAGACTACATAAACCCTGACTGCACATTGTGATAGAATATGTGTGCGTCCTTATCAATGCCATCACAGACACAGACCAATCATTGCTGCCTTCAGCCTCTAAGACTCAGATTTTAACTCGATAGATTACCTTTCCTGTGTTAGATCCCGAGTAAAGAGAATCATTCTATTTATCTTGATTTCTTCTATGTCACATTTTGTTTCTGAAATTCTTCATTGTTTCATTGGTGCTTGTAGCTGTAATATGTTGGCTGGTGTTGAGGTTCTCTGGGTTTAGGGGAAAGGAAGGTGTGGGGAGATGGAGTTCAGAGCCTAGCACATATTTTTTTTCTTTTCTTTTTTTTTTTTTTTTTGTTTGTTTTTGTTTTTGTTTTTTGGAGACGAGGTTTCTCTGCATAGCCCTGACTGTCCTGGAACTCATTCTGTAGACCAGGCTGGCCTTGAACTCATAGAGTTCTGCCTACCTCTGCCTCCCAAGTGCTGGGATTAATGGTATGCACCACCAACCACCCAGTAAGCCTGGCACATTCTAAGCAAGCAGCCTACTACTGAGTTACATCCTTAGACTTTGGCTTTTGTCTTTCTAAGAAAGAGCCTTGCAATGTACCTGATGTTGGCCTTGAATTTGCTGGAAAACCATACTGGCTTGAAACTCAGACATTCCTCCTGCTTCAACTTCCCAAATGCTGCAATTGCAATGATTCCCACCAACTGGGCATTCTCATTGTTCTGTAATGTTTTGTTGTACAAGTATGCCACGACTATTAATCCATTCTATTCATATATTTAATTAGTATATATATTACTTACTGAGACAGGGCTCATGGTGCAGCCCAGGGCTTCCACAGACTTTTTATATAGCCAAGGATAGCTTCACACCCACTGAAGTTCTCGTGCCTTTGCCTCCCAAATTCTGGGATTACAGGCATGTGCCACCATGCCTGTTTTTTTATTCCATTCAAATTTAGACAGAAAAATACATTCCATTGTACCCAGCAACATTTTTGTGAATTTATCCGTTAGAGATATTCCCAAAGTATGCAAACATACAGGGAAATTAATGAAATATTACTTTAATTGTGAAAATTAAAGTAAGAAACAACTTCAATTTCAGTTAGTAGACAATCCATTCAGATTATGGATTGGTGGTGGGGCCATAAGGAAAAGAACATTCCTGAACTGAATTTGTCCACAGAAAATAAACCCAAAGCCAGTGAGATGGCTCAGCAGTAGGTGCTTCCTGCCTAGCCTGATGAGCTTAACTTGATTGCAGGAATCCACAAGGTTTGGAAGGAGAGAACCGGTTCATGCAAACTGTCCTCTGACCTCAGCATACGCTCACAAAGGCACACATGCATATAAAATGTAATGATAAAATAAGGTAAACCCCAACCTTTCAAGAACCTAGAGCTATCTAAAGTCCAATTTTTTAAAAAAATAATTTTTTTGCCAGGTGTGGTGGTGCACACCATAAATCCCAGCACTTGGGAGGCAGAGGTAGGAGGATTTCTGTGTGAGGACAGCCTGGTCTATATAGTGAATTCCAGGTCACCCCAGACCCTGTCTCAGCGGAAAACTGGATAAAGGGTAAATCCTTATAGTAAGAGGCCATTTAGTTTTCAAAGATAAGCAGGACAAGAGTAAACAGCATTTTCTGTCGACAACACTTTCCAAATAGCAGTGGTACCCTTGTACCTGCTTCTGTGAACGTTAGGTCCAGCCTCGCCCACTCGCCATCATCTCCAGCTTGCACAGTTAGAAGCATCCTAACTCGTATCCTTGCTTCCTCCTTCCCCTGAAACCCTCCATGTCTCTAGAACTGATGTAGTGGCCTGAAGCACGCAACTCTTCTATTGCCTCTATAATACAATGGTTCTCTGGCCCATTAGGCCCCACGGGAGACGGTCCCTTCCTGTGACTTCATGTCCCTGCACTTTTCCTTCACACTGACTCACGTCCATCACACCCACTGGGCCTTCTGCCTGGAGCGCTCTACATCAAGTTCACCACAAGACAGTCCTGTCATTTATATTTCGACTTAAACACCACTTCATCAGAGTCCTGCTTGCCCAGACTGAAACTGTGTTCCTCTGTCCTCCCTCCACATGGCCAGTCATCCACTTTGGCTCTCACATCCACTGCCTACAATTATTTGTATTGACTTCTTTCTTTGTTTCAAACTCACAAACAGAAAAACTCTTATCACTCTTTATCATACCTAGAACTGCCTGGCTTAAGGTGGGCACTTAATAAACTCTTAGCCTAATTCATATTCAAATGAGAACATCTATGTTACTAATGTACAAGCCAAATTTCCCTTGAGTTCTGAGTTTGAAAGCCACAGGTAGTCACACACAGAATAGTACGCTGTAGGTTATATTCTATTTTATTTTACCAGTAGAAGAGGGAAGTCAGAGAAAGGGGTACGGGCAGGGCTAGAAGATTGCCCAAAGGTATCTTATTAGGATTAAAATGGTTTTTTAACACGACACAATAACTTTCCCCACCCATTTTATCATGTAAACCAAGGCAGACTTAGTCACTAAAATCTGAGCCAATTGGGCATAAAGTTGGTGGTTCGGTAACTACAGCTTGCAAGAATATGGAAAGGCACAGTCGCACATCATGTGAGGGTCCCGGGGTGTGGTGCTATATATAAGCCGTCCTGTCCAGGTCTTCTGTCTTGAGAGCTCATGCGTCTCCTAGCTTAGGTTTGACTTGACTTCTGTCTGTGCTTCTGAGAAAACAGATGTGCAAAGCATCGGCATGGTGGCAGGAGCAGTGACCGGCATAGTGGCTGGGGCCCTGCTCATTTTCCTCCTGATATGGCTGCTAATCCGAAGGAAAAGCAAAGAGAGATATGAGGAAGAGGAGAGACCTAACGAGATTCGGTAAGCTTCCCTACTCCTAGGAACTCCTTTTACAGGCCAGGCCCATAGTAGCTAGTCAGTATAAACATCCCTCATTCCCTCCGCACCGGGGATCTCTTCAAAGGATTATTCTGGCAGGTAGGAAATTACAGTCTAGGGACAGAAGATGTGACTCACTTTACTGTGAAACTGTCCTTGTTCTGGCTTGTGTTTCTGTTGCTGTGATAAACATCATGACCCAAAGCAGCAGTATGGGGGTGGAAAGGGCTTATTTCCCCTTCCAGCTTACAGTCCAGTGCAAAGGGAAGTCAGGACAGGAACTCAAGCGGGAACCCGGCAAGGGGGGGGGGGGGGGTGTAACTGAAGCAGAGGCCACGCTGGAGGGGTGCAGCTTACTGGCTTGCTCCTTCAGCTTGCTCAGCTGCTTTCTTATATAACCAGCATCATCTCCCCCACCCCACCCAGAGCGTCCCCACCCACGGTGAGCTGTCCTCTCTGACATCATTCATTAATCCAGAAAATGCCCTACAGACTTGCCACAAGGCCAGTCTGACAGAGACATTTTTCTCAGTTAAGGCTCCCTTTCCACATGACTCTGCCTTGAGTCAAGCTAGCAACCATCCAGCATAATTCTCAACTTCACTTCTGATTCATTCCCACTTAAAAAGGGTATGACCTATAGGACATGAAAGGCTTTGAGTACACAGACCCCCAAAATCAAGGCTACTATGCAGACCATCTCATGTTGAGCCGTATCCTTCTGGTACACCTGGCTGGACCTCCAGCTGTCACACAACAAACATTTTCCTAAACTGATCATTCAGTCTTACAAAACCAGGAAGTGTTTAGTTCCTTAACTGGCTGCCTTTGGAGGTTTTTTGGCTTGAGGGATTTCTTTATTAAAAAAAAAAAAAAATCTCAGGAGGAAGTAACTTTTAAGAGTCACCACCACATCCCTGACAGTACTAAAGTTTATCTTTTCTGTCTGCTCATTTTTTCCCTTTCAGAGAAGATGCGGAAGCCCCCAGGGCCCGCCTCGTGAAGCCTAGCTCCTCTTCCTCAGGCTCCAGGAGCTCACGCTCTGGCTCTTCCTCCACCCGCTCCACAGGGAACAGTGCCTCGAGAAGCCAGAGGACACTGTCCAGTGAAGCGGCCCCCCAGCCGGGGGTTGCCACTCAGGCGTACAGCCTAATAGGACCAGAAGCAAGAGGTTCTGAACCAAAGAAAGCGCACCACACGACCCTGACCAAAGCAGAAACCACACTCAGCACAATCCCCAGCCAGAGCAAAGCCTTCCAGACTGTCTGAATCACAGTGGACTTGACTTGCACTCTTCCAGAAGTCAGGATCCTAGCCTAGCCACCAGAGCTCTGTTCACCAGCCACACAAGCCCCTCAGCCAGATGAGAACTCACTTAAGTAGCTGCCATCATGGCACGGACCAGTTCCGACGAGCACCTTCCTTACAGGACACCAAACAAAGGACATGGATAGGCTGGTCATTTCTAGAAAGGCACCTCACTGTGCCTTCAGAGTAGAAGTGGAGGCAAGGGGGGCCCAAACCAACTTTGCTGACCAGGACTTGTGGTGAAAATAAAGGAGAGGTGAGGTTGCGTACACCTGATCCATCCTACCTAGGAATGTTGCGAGTCACCACAGTCAAGAAGAAATGGGAATCTCATAGATCAATTTTCTATTCATTTCTGCAAATTGATTGGATTATCGTGACTATTCAGATAGTCAAAACAGAAACCCACAGCCTTATATTAACACCTCTCTGCAACATGTACTGGGACAAACGCTTCTAAGAAACTCACATTAAAAAAAGAAGGAAACACTGTTTTTTCCCTACTTTGACTTGACGTCATGTATCCTAAGGTTTGAACATTAATTTGGGGAGGATTTGAAATAGCAGGAGACAGAGAAACGTGATTTTCTCTTTCCTTATCTACAACGAACCTTCCGATTTCTATGGAACCCTAGAATAATAACTAAGAAAAGAGTCCAACCTAGATGGGACATGATTTTGTGAAGAACTTTCCATTTTGATGTTCAGAGGATTGCCAACAGAGATCAAAAATAAATCCTGGGGCAGTTGCGGGTCATGACTCAAATCTGACGCCCCCTAAAGACTTCTTTACTAGATGTTTCTAGAAGAAACGAGTATTTGCTACAGGTCACTTAATGAATGTCCTTAGGGAAGGAATCCTCTAGAGAAAGTCTCTTAGGGAAGTTGGAAGGTCCCCTTTGCATACCATTTCCTGCTCCTCTTGCTGAGAAGCCGTGAAACCAGAATTTCAAGACTGATTGGAATAGAGAGGGAAATTAGACCTTTCCCTTAATAGGTCAAAGGACATTTAATACTGGCCCAAACTTGGAGATTCCTCTGTTTCTTTCCTTTTAGAAGGATGTGGATGTGGGACCTTTGAAGATTCTAGGCCTTAAATTTTCAAAGATCATTTCCTAAAGGCATTGAAAATACATGCCCCATCACTCCCCACTAAGAGGCTGAACCAGAGAGAACCTCAGCGTCTCTCTCTCAGTCTTCGCCTCCAAGAAAAGTGTAGCTGTGGGCTGGAAGGCACACAGACTACCATTAGGGAGCAGGTGGTGAGAAAAACAAGTGGGTGGCGGGAGAGGGTTCAGCTAATGTGTGTGTGTGTGTGTGTGTGTGTGTGTGTGTGTGTGAGTGTGTGTGTGTGGTTGGCATTTGGGAAAGAATTAGCAAAAAGGATTCACCAGCAAAACTATCAAAACAACTCATACAAGGGAAAAGAAAGGTGTCCAAGAAATTTAAAAAGAAAAAGGAAAAAAAAAAGCCGTCTTTCCTCGATAAGGATAAGTAACTTGCCTTTTAGACAGTTGTGACAAATAGGGTTCCTATGGCCTAGTTGCTAAGCCTGAATTAGCCGTTCAAGGAACAAGGCAAAGTCAGCAGGTCATGGTGGGTGGAGCACAGCATTTCCTATTGTTGACCAGGGCAAAGAAAGGCTGGAGGAAAGAGGAAGCGGCCGCAGCTACTGTGATGAAGCGTTCTCTGAAGTGGTACTCAGACGGTGACAGGGAAAAGGTTGATGCTCAATATTGCCCCATTTCTCTGGCTTTTTATCCCGACGTTTAACGTGCAGAAGAGTGTCCTCACAGAATATACATACATTTCCTTCTAAAGTGCCTGGGAAATGATGCTTGTGTTAAGGTGTCTAGGTTCGTTTGGGTGGGCTTCCTGCATGCTAAAGTGACGGTCCTCACCTGAGTTTTGTCTTCCTTTGAAAGAGGTACAGATAAGAGACATTGGGGGAATAACAGGGATGCCTGTTCATTTGAGAGAATAGGCATATTTGAAATGCTCCTTATACTAACTCTTATCTCATTGTAAGATATTTTTTTTTAAAGCCCTTTACTCTGACTACATTTTTATTCCTCCTGGAGGATGGTATCCAGGCAACATGTCTCTTCTGCTATGTAATTCTGAGAATTCGCCTTCCTGGAGTCCCTGAGCCAAATGAGCTCACAATGAAGGCTGCAGCTGGGCCTCACTAGCAATTTTCTCACTGTTTCCTGCCTTTGAGAATCAGGTTTCCTGTCAGTGCTTCCAGAGCAGGGATCAGTCCCCTTTGTCTGAAAAGGAAATCCTGATTATTTAAATGTGTTATTGGAGACTAATACCATTGAATACCCAAGTGACTTTGGAAATTCATTCCCGGTGGAAAACTACAATAAACACACGAAACAGATTGTACTAGGGGCTGAGAAATTCTGAGAGATATGGCACTGACCCCTTCCCTTAGAATCAGGCTTCCAGGTTTCGGTAAGACAGAGTGTGGGCTGGGGACAAAGTGAGAGCCGTGACTGACTCCAAACCTTATTCCATTGACTTTGCCAACCAAGCTGACTGAGTCTCTACTGTGAAACAGAGAAAAAAAATTACTGATGGACAGAAGCCAAAATAAAAGTTTGTAGGAAGAAAATGCAGATGGAAGAAAGTGGACATTTAAAGAGTAACCGTTTCAATAAAATACATAAGCCAAACTGAAATCTGTAAAATAGTAAAATTGATGTTTTTGTTGTTGTATTGTATGCAAAGCGTTTCAGAATTCTGTTCCAAAAGGTTTTTATAGTTTGCCTCATTTCCGGTGTTAAGCTGTGTATCTGTCAGTCTGCTTTGTCGCCTTGTAAATGGGACAGAAAGTGTCACAAAGGCAGTTATTGATTATTGATTGTAACTCCATCTGTATCAGCAATGACAAAATAAACAAGGGAAGACACCACTGCAGGAGAGGCTGGGCTCCTGGAACCTGCCCTGGAGATGTAGCTACACCTTGCTGCCAAAATAACAGAATGCAGGCCAAATGCAATCTATTAGTGAGTGAGTTCAGTCACAAGTTATTGTTAATCCCCAAGATTCCAGGAGAAAGACCACTGACCCAAACCATCATCCAAATGAATTAAAGCAGGCAATTCGTTAAAGCAGGCTGGCTCATCAGTATATGAAGTATTTTCTTCCTCTCAAAGCCAGATGTTAGGTGTAAACAGCTCAGAGGCAGCTGCCCTTAAAGACTTTGTCACAATCAACCAATAATCATTTCGAAGAGAGTATTTTGTGCCAAGGCTAAGTACCAACTGAGGGATCTAGCAAGAGAAGTAACCCCTGAGAGTCACAGAAATCCAAAAACAACTTCACAGACGTCCACAGAAATCTAAGAGCAAAAAGTAACAGGCTGGTGGTACATCCCTGTAATCGGATCACTCAACTGGAGGCAGGAGTTCACGTTCACCCAGCCTGGCATACGAGAAACCTGTTTCAGAAAGACAAAGAACAATAATGGTAGCTATCACTTATTGAAATATCGTGTGACAGTCACTATTTCTTTGAAGACAGGGTCTCATGTAGCCCAGGCTGGCCAAATACTTACAGCTAAGGATTACCCTAAGGTCCTGGCCCTCCTGCCACCCCTACCTCCTAGAGTGCTGACATTACAAGCAAATTTCACTATACTTAGCTTTTTCCTTCCCTGACCCCAAAACTCTAAATATATTATACATTTTATCTCAGCTTCATACTCATATTAGCTCTATAAAAAGATGTTTGCATTCTCATTTTATTTTAATTTATTTATTGTTTGCTCTTGTTTTTTGAGACAGGGTTTCTCTGTGTAACCACACTGGCTGTCCTGGAACTCACTATAGACCAGGCTGGCCTTAAATTCACAGAGAGTCCACCTGTCTCTGCCTCCCGAGTGGTGGGATTAAAGACATGCACTGCTACTGCCCGGTGCATTCTCATTTTAAAAATAAGAAAACTCGGTGTTGGAAAGATGGTTTGGCAGTGAAAAGCACTGTTGGTTTTGCAGAGGACTGGAGTTTGGTTCCCAGCACTCACATGGTGGCTCACAATTGTCCGTAACTCCAGTTTAGGGGATCCAATGCTCTTCTCTGACCTCCTCAGGCTTCTGCATCTATACGGTACATATACACTCATGCAAATACACACATATACACATAAAAGTAAATAAAATTAAAAAATAAATAAGGCTGGGAGATAGTGACACATGCCTTTCATCCCAGCTCTCAGGAGGCAGAGGCAGATAGATCTCTATGAGTTAAAGCCCAGCCTGGTCTGCAGAATGAGTTCCAGGACACAGAGAAACCCTGTCTGGAAAGACAAAATTAAAAACAAACAGAAAACAAATGAGAAAACTAAAACACAGAGAGTTTAAGTCAGCAGCAGAGCTCAAATTTATACACAGCTGTGTTGGTGTAGTAACACGACATGGAATCTCAGCACTTGGGAGGCTGAGGCAAGTAACAGCCGGAGCAACAGAGCAAGACGTCATCTCAGAAATAATAATACATGCACCCAGACGTACACCATTGTGTTCCATCAGGACTGATAGATCTTGACTAACTGCTCTTCTTATCCCTAAAATTCTTACAGCTTTACCCAGACCTTGGGCTTGCCTTCCTTCTGCTTGCTTTCTCTTCCCTACCCTCTTCACTCACACAATGAAGATCATTCAGACAGTACAAATTATTTTGTAAAGATATAAATCTATATATATATCATGCCAGGCAGCAGTGGCACATGCCTTTAATCCCAGCCCTCGGAAGGCAGAGACAGGTGGATCTCTGTGAGTTCGAAGCCAGTCTGGTCTACAGAGTGAGTTCCAGGACAGGCTCCAAAGCTACACAGAGAAACCCTGTCTCAGGGAAAAAAAAAAAAAAAAAAAAAAAAAAAATATATATATATATATATATATATATATTTATCAATCAAAGTAATCATGATTGTAGATGAAATAATTTGTACAATTCTGAGAAAATGTTGAGCACAGAGTATCTTGAACACACTGAGGTTAAGTTGATAATAATAATAATTATTAAGGTACATTAATTTTATTAAAAATGTTTATAGAGCTCAAACATTTGAGGGACCCCGGATTTAGAAGTCATTATGATCACAGCTGAGTATGGTGGCGCCTGCCTCTAATCTCATCACTTGGAAAGCTGATGGATGGCAAGAGGACCACTGAGAGTTCGAGGCCAGCCTGGACTACAAAGTAAGGTCTGGTTTCAGAGAGATGGTTCAGCAGTTAGGAATACTAGCTGTTCTTCTAGAGGACCCAGGTTTAATTCCTGGCCCCCACATGGTGGCTCACAGATATCTGTAACTCCAGTTCTAGGAGATCTGACACCCTCTTCTGGTCTCCACTGTGTTCATGTGCTACACTAACATACATGCAGGTAGAACACCCATACAGATTTAAAAAAAAAATAGAGCTGGGCATGGTAGCACACATCTTTAACCAGTACTCAGAAGGCTGAGGCAGGCGGATCCCTATGAGTTCAAGGCCAGCCTAGTCTATAGAGCAAGCTCCGGGCCAAACAAAGCTGTATAGTAAAGCTACACGTAGCTACAAAGCTAAACAGACCCTGTCTCAAAAATAAGGAAATAAACAAATGAGTAAATCTAAAGAAGAAAAACAAATTGAGTTCAGCCAGCATGAGCTACTCAATGAGACCCTGTCTCAAAAACATAATGAAACAAAACCCCAGTCCAAGGATTGTGTTTGTAACTATTTAAGGCTAACTTTCTTGTCCTTCTTTTCTCTGCCTGCCTGCCTGTCTGCCTGCTAGGACTGAAACCCACGACCTGACAAAACTAGGCAAAGGCTCTACCCCTGTGCTACATCTCCAGCTCTCTCTGGGTTTTTACCTCATCTTTGCCACCATTCCTGGGTAGAGAAGTCAGAAACATGGTTTTGCTTTTTGTTTTGTTTTGTTTTATTTTCTTTTGTTTTTGGGGACAGGGTTTCCCTGTGAAGTTTTAGTGCCTGTCCTAGAACTCCCTCTGTAGACTAGGCTGGCCTTGAACTCACAGAGATCCACCTGTCTCTGCCTCCCGAGTACTGGGATTAAAGGCGTGCACCACCATGTCCGGCTCAGAAACATTTTTTTATATCAGTTTATCCACTAAGCACCTTTGACAACGATTTCAATTTATATTAAAAACAAAACAAAACAAAAAACCCAGCACATGGGAGACATGGAAAGCAGGTCTCTGAGTTCAAGTCCAGTCTGCTCTACATAGTAAATTCCAGACCAGCCAGGACTTCATGGTGAGACCTCAAAAACCCAATAATCGTAACAATAACAACAATTTATGGAGAAGATGGTTCCTACAACAGCATCTCTTTTCCACACTACAGGATTAAACAAGGATTTATATGGAATTTGACGCCAGCCATAGTAGCACCTACCTTTAATTCCAACACTTAGAGTTCAAGTTCATCCTCTGCTGTAGAGTGAGACCAGCCTGGACAACAGAAGACTCTGTCTCTAGCCAGGCGGTGGTGGCACACACCTTTAATCCCAGCACTCGGGAGGCAGAGGCAGGCAGATGTCTGTGAGTTCGAGGCCAGCCTGGTGTCCAAAACAAGTTCCAGGAAAGGTGCAAAGCTACACAGAGAAACCCTGTATCGAAAAACCAAAAAAAAAAAAAAAAAAAAAGACTCTGTCTCAAAAATATTTTTTTAAAAAATGAGATATTATGGATAAACTTGGGTGGGACAAGACGGCTCATTGGGTAAAGGTACTTGTCTTCCAAGTTTAAGAACCTGAGTTCAGGGCCAGGTGGCCATAGTGCATACCTTTAATCCAGCACTCAGGAGGCAGAAGCAGGAGCACCTTGTGAGTTCGAGGCCAGCCTTGTCTACAGAATGAGTTCCAGGACAACCAAGAAGACTACAAAGAGAAACCAACCCTGTCTCAAAAAACCAAAAATATAAGCCAACCTGAGTTCAATCTTTGAAACTCACATAAAGATAGAGACAAGTTAGCCTGTTCTACATGAGTTTGAGGCCAGCCAAGGTTACATAGTGAGACACTCTTTAAAAAAAAAAAAAAGTGTGTGTGTGTGTGTGTGTGTGTGTGTAGATCCTACTCCATCCACAAAGCTGTCCTGATGTCTACATACATGCCATGCACTTTCCAAATAACAAATTAAGTATTTTGAAACTTCATAAACTGCTGACAATCTTGGTTAAGAATCGAAGCATACAAAGCAAAGCATATGCTGTGGAATAAGTCTGATCTGACTTTGAAACTAGGTTGAGGTAGAGCAGATTGTTTATTCTTTCAGGAGCCTTTCTGTCTGTATCTGAAGACAGGATAAGATGTGCCTACCACAAGCTGAGCACCGCAGTAGCCTGCAGCTTTAATCCCAGCACTCAGGAGGCTGAGGGGCGGATCTCTGTGAGCTGAGATCAGCCCGGTCTACAGAGTGAGTTCCAGGCCAGCCAAAGCTACAGAGTGAGATCCTGTTTCAAAGCAAAAACAAAACAACAAAGATCTGTGTAAAATAGTTGACATTCGAGTCACATAAGGAAACACACGTGTTTCCTGGGTCCTTGCTCCACACACAGAGGCTGTAGAAAAAGAACTCAACAGTTAGACAGCAGGCTGATTTTAATGTTCAATGTGGCTAAATATTTTCCTCAATTTCCTTTGTGTAGTATAATAAAAGAAAATGATATTAGGATGACTTACATGTATGTCTTCATGTTTAAGTGAAGTAATTTATACTTTGCTACAGTTAGAAAGGCAAAATACTAATATCAGTTTGGATCATTCTGGTTTCAATTTTCCTGAAGGAATGCAGTAAACACATTCAAGTCCTGGACAATCAGGCCACATACTGCAGTTTTTAGTCATGTCATTGGTTCTAAGAGGGTCTGTTTTTGATGGAATTTCCATGTAAGTTTACCATTCTTTGAT